AAGGCAATGCGCAAAATTCAACAGTCAACGTCAATCAAAATGGACGACATGGCAATGGAAACCATCATGACGGAAGATATCAACATCAACAAAGGCGAAATCAAAAGATAAGTAGAAATTATCAAGGGTTTTCAAATTTTAACAGTTCTAATCCAAATGGAAAACTAATTAAAAATTGTTATAAATGTAGCCTAACTCATAAAATAAATGCATGTCCAGCATACGGCAAACAATGTCAAAAGTGCAACAAATTTAATCATTTTGCCAAGGTATGTAAACAAAAACAACTTAACAATGTACAACAAAATGATACTGATAGCAATTTAGAATCTGATTTTAGCGATTTGGGGCCGGAAGAATTTGCAATTTTTAATTTAACAACTAAACAAAATAAAAGCAGTTGGTTTGAAAATTTATATGTAAACAATAAACTTAAAGTGAATTTTAGATTAGATACGGGAGCTGATGTTTCAATTTTACCCCTTAGCTATTTTAATAAATTAAATACTAGTCTGGAAGAGCTAGATATGCCTGATATAAATATTATAGGATATGATAATGGCATAATTAAATCACTAGGTACAATTTTATTGAGGGTTAAAAAATGTAATGTAAAAAATATAGGTATTCTTATAAAATTTAATTGATAGGAAAATAAATAAAGCAGAAATAAATAATTTAACGGAAATGAGCATAAGTAATGAAATTAAAACTAAATACAGTGATGTGTTTCAGGGTTTGGGTTGCCTACCTGGTACTCACAACATCGAAATTGATGAACAAGTTCCTCCAAGGATCCATCCTCAACGGAAAGTACCCTATGCTCTCCACCAGCAACTCAAGGACAAGCTGACAGAACTCGAAAATTCTCAAATCATTAGGAAAGTCACAGAGCCTACGGATTGGGTAAATAGTTTAGTAGTAGTAAAAAAGCAAAACAATGATTTACGACTTTGTATTGACCCTAAAGATTTGAATGTAGCAATCAAAAGGGAACATTTTTATATACCTAGCTTAGATGATATAACAAATAAACTCAAAGAAACTAAGTTTTTTTTCAGTATTAGATTGCAGTAATGGGTTCTGGCAGATTAAATTAAATGAAAGAAGCTCTAAATTAACAACATTTAACACCCCTTGGGGTAGATATCGTTTTTTAAGATTGCCTTATGGCATCAGTTCAGCTTCTGAAGTCTTTACTAGAAAACTGAGAGAGATATACAAGGGCGTAGAGGGCATAGGAATATTTGTGGATGATATTTTAGTATATTCAAAAACCTTGGAGGAACATAAAAAAATTTTAGATAAATTATTCTTGGTAGCTAAAGAAAATAATGTTAAATTTAATTTAAATAAGTGTAAATTTTGTCTAGATCATGTTAAATACATGGGTTTTAAATTGTCTAGGAAAGGTTTAGAGGTCGATGAGAGTAAAGTAGAGGCCATAAAAAATATGCAAGAACCAAAATGTCCAAAAGACATTGAAAGATTTCTTGGTATAATTAATTATGTTAGTCGTTTTATACCTAACTTCTCGGAAATAACCGAACCTTTAAGAGATATAATTAAAAAGGGAACAACATTTGATTGGACCGAAAAACAACAAAAATCTTTTGAAACTTTAAAATCTTTACTTAGTTCAGCACCAATTTTACAGTTTTATTCATCTAAATTGCCTATTGTGATATCTTGTGATGCTTCTCAAAGTGGTTGTGGTTCTGTTTTACTACAAAATGATGCTCCAGTTTCGTATGCATCAAAAGTTTTCACAGACACTCAAAAAAGGTATGCTCAGATAGAAAAAGAACTGCTATCTATTTGTCATGCATGCAATAAATTTCATAATTATATTTATGGTCGTTCAGATATTATCATAGAAACAGATCACAAACCATTGATAAACATAATAAATAAACCTTTAACAATTGCTCCGGCAAGACTTCAAAGGATGCTTCTAATGCTACAACCTTACAATTTTAAATTAGTTTACAAGCCTGGAAAGAAATTATTTTTTGCAGATGCTTTGAGTAGAGCTTATCAAAATAATCATGACAGCAAATTTGAAAAACACTGTGCAGAAATTGAAAATCACTTACTTTTCACAACTAAAAACATGGCAATTAGCTCTGAAAAATTTGAATTACTCAAAAATGAGACTGCAAAAGATGTTCACCTGCAAGGGTTAATCAATTTAATCTGTACAGGATTTCCAGACTCTAAGAAAAAAGTAGAAAATGAATTTAAACAGTATTGGTGTTATCGTCATCAACTTTTTCATGCAAATGGCATTATATTTAAAGATAATAGAATTTTTGTACCAAAAACTTTGAGAAAAGAAATGCTAGCAAGATTACACATATCACACCTAGGTAAAGTAAAGACAAAATTAAATGCAAAACAACTTTTATTTTGGCCTCTAATCAACTCGGATATCGAAAACATGATAGAATCATGTGATGTTTGTATGTCAAATAGTAATAGTAATCAACTTGAGCCTCTAATTTCTCATGAAATTCCCCTAGGAGTATGGAAAAAGGTTGGAACAGACTTATTTTACTTTAAAAATAATACTTACCTAATTTGTGTGGACTATTATTCCAAATACGTCGAAGTAGAAAAGCTTCACTCGGAAACTTCTCAAAGTGTCATAACTGCTCTAAAGAAAATTTTTGCAACACATGGAATTCCTGAAAACGTTGTTTCTGACAATGGACCTTGCTACAGCTCGAGGGAGTTCAATATTTTTTCTCAAAAATGGCAATTTAAACACATAAAAACAAGTCCGCATTATCCTCAAAGCAATGGTCAAGTTGAGAGATTCGTACAAACAGTGAAAAATACACTAAAAAAGTGTTATGAGTCAGGAAACGATTTTTATTTGGCTTTATTGGACTTAAGAAACACTCCAATTGCACCAAATTTACCAAGTCCTTCACAGTTAATTTTTAGTAGAAGATTGAAAACTACAATTCCTATATTAGAAAAATTATTAAAACCAAAAGTCCAGCCTCTTTCCATAACAAAAAATAAGTTAGTCGACAGACAAATTAAACAAAAAATATATTTTGATAAAAATAGTAAAGAATTGAGTGAATTGTCAAAAGGAACATTTGTAAAAGTAAAAAATTATAAATTAAAAAGTCAGGAAAAATGGTTGAAAGGAATTATAATTGGGAAAAATAATGTGCCCAGGTCATACAATGTAAAACTCGAATCTGGAAGTATTGTATCCAGAAATCGAAAACACATAATAATTGCAGGAAAAAATAATTTGTCACAAAATTCAAATAATTATAGTTCAACGAAAAGTTATAATCAATTCAAATATGATGATATCATTGACAACGATAGAAATCAAAATATACAAGAGCCACCTTCACCTTCTATAGCAACCAGTAGAAGTGAAGGAGTGAATGACTCAGATTCTTACGAAAGTCTTGATTATGATTCTTCTGAGGACAGAGGGAATGGAGTATTGCCAAAGCACTCTCCAGTGAGAACTACTTCTGGTAGAATAGTGAGGCCACCCGTTAGATTAAGTTTTTAGATTTACTGTTATATGTAGTTTGTCATATATTGTATATAGCTGTTATATTTAGTTTACATTTAGCTGTAAATAGTCAAAATATAAAAAACTATTAATCATGCTGGCAGGAAAACATAGCACATAGCTATATGTTCATTTTTAAGTTATACTGTGATATTTCAATTAAACATATTATTATAAACAACAAGCTTTAAACAAACTGTGATTATATACATAAATATTTTTATTAGAAAAAGAGAGATGTAGTATATCTCTTTCCGTTGCCAGCTACCAAACCAGTCGTTTGATTATTAAATACCTAAAAACTATAACCCAATCCCGATCCAAGTACCTAGTGATACTTAAAGTAATTACAGAACATTACAATTGGTACATGGATACCTTAAACATGAATCTTTTTTTTGACGTTGTGATATACAGGGTGTTCCATTAGAAATAGTGGAGAATTTCGATGTTGAAAAACGGAATTTTTTTACTCGCCCTGTATAAGTTTCAAAAAAAAATGAAACCTACTAGAAAAAACTTTAGACCAAGAGAAATCGAATGGCACAAACCGCAGGTAGCTAGCTCACCTGGTTTAAAAGTTATAAGCATTTAAAATGGGTCACTCTCGGCTGGGACACCCTGTATAATAAGCAGAATAAGATTTAAATTTAGTTTTAGGGACTAATGACATATGGCCACTATCCAGATAGTTTTGCATAAAATCGGAGTATTTCTGAAAGTACTCAGGATTCTTTGAAAAGCGATTTTCAAGCATAGAAAAACGTCTGTAGGCTTGAGAATGTTGGTTCTCTGGGTACTGGTCCAAACTGAAGTGTGTTGACTGTAGCAGAGTACTCTGTAGCTTCTTAGGGCAGTAAAATAGGGGCAGTTTCGTTGTAGTGACCGAACCGTCCGATACGACACGAATTTGTACGGGTCGCGTAGCGAGAGTGTGTTGTCTACTCTGCGGCCGAGAATATATTATTTTTAAAATCTTGAACAAGGCAGCATAAAAATGCAGCTGCTTCCAGCAAGTAACGTGTGCGCATATGATAAACGAAAAAAATCGCTAATGAAAAATATAGGCACAATCGAACTTTGTCAAACTAAAATAGGCATAAAGCCCTTTTGAGAGTTTCCTAAACAATACATTTTAAAATAAAAACAAAATGTCTATACCTAATTTCCACAATTTTTTTTCTGGACAATTAAATATTTGTGGAAATTATAAACTTTTGTCTTATTTCAGAATTTACAAAAATACTATTTGATGTTAACCCAAAGAAGGCCTCGAAAATTAAAAAAGAGATGTTCAAATTGGCGAAAACATTGTCGCTGAAGTGAAGAAAAAATAATTGACATTGTTGCATGAGTAGAAGATTGTTCTTTCCAAAATTTACTATAGTTGCCTTATCACCTCTCGAAGCGAGTTCCACATATTATAATTATAGAGAATAGAGATACCAACCTGTATCTTGTTTTTCAGGTTTTATTCCTCTTTTGGCCTCCAAAAGCAAATTGATCACATCCTGTCTAACAATCCCTTTTTTTTCCCTCAGTTGAATTGTTTCATAAATAATATTTTTGAAATATTCTGTTAAATCTCTTGCAAATATCGATATTCTGAAAAACTATAAAAAAAAAATAAAACAATTAAATGGGTAGGTTAAAATTTAAAATTTTCACCTTATATAAATTGGGTGCCGTGAAAAATACCACAAACTTAAGAGACGTTATCAATTTACCAAAATTGGTAACTTTTTGGCCCATCAAAAAGAACTTATTGTTTGGTTCTTTTAGTGAATCCACTTTTAGGCCAAAAGCTGTGGTGGCAATAACGTCGTTGGCAAATCTTGTGAAAGTATCTTTCATTTCAATTTCAATAAAACATTCGTTTTTATTTTTGAAATAATCCACGAAATTTTCTGCAGTTTCATTGACAATTTCAAATATTTGTTTCATTTTACTTGTTGTGAACGTTCCAGTCAGCAGCGTTCTCATTTCTTTCCATTTTTGACCTAAAATTACCAATAATTTGTCATACTTATAGGTAGAATATAAACTCTCTTAAAATCAATACTCTACTCAAAATCCACTTTTTCACAAGAAATAAACAGTTCTGATTTGCACACATAGTAGGTACCTACCCATTACTTGTTTGAATCGTTTTGGATTAGGCAAACTTCTTGTGAACTTTGTCCCAAAGTAGTAAAATCTCAATATGAACCAAAGGCAAAAGATTTAGATTTATGAAACCTATGTGAACTTTTTTAGCACAAAAATTACCTGAACTCAAATCAAACCATTTTACCTTTTAAAGCAAATAAATTATTACTCCATAATTGATCGGTTTCAGGATTCACGAAAGGTCTGTGATCAGTGAAATATTCAAAATCTCTAACTGTGATTTGTTTAATTAATTCAGGATCTTTAACCATCAATGCCGGAAGAGAAAACTGATAGAAACCCATATATCTGAGAAATATTTATTATTGCAAAAACATTCTGATATTTAGTAGGTATTTATACCTTTCTTCTGGATACATATTATAAACCTGTGTCACTGACTCAGCATAACTTTTATGTATAACTGACCATAAATCACCTAAAATAGGCCAAGCATTGGTTTGTTTGACTCCTATTTTCCTAAAATGATTCATTGGCTTGATTAAACTAAACCATATCAACAAGACTGCTACACTTCCAACAAAAAACACGAACATTTTTTTTTTTTAAACAAATAGTATAGTCACATTGACTAATAAATGTTCAAAAACTTTATATAAAACAGTTGAATGGCTATGGACTAGGTACTTGCACAATTTATTCTTTATACTTAGTGTAAATCTTAAAGTAAATATGTAGGTATGTGCGAATCATTTTTTTATTAGCTTCTTGGTTATTAAAAATCAATTAGCTGTATTTAATTTTCAAATTATCTAGGTATAAAACATATAGTCCACAGAATGGCATTTAATTATGTATTAAAATAAATTTATTATTGCTATCATTTTTTCCTTTATCACCTAATGTTATTAGTGCAGGGCCATACGTGAATATTTCCAAGTTCGTGCCATGCTAGGTCTAGTTAGGGCAGTTAGAGACACTCAAATTTGGGGGTTTACCTATCGGAGCCCTGTATTGTAATTAAAAAAGAGAAAAATTGAAAAGCGGCACAGGAACAAATTTTTGAAAAATGTTCTTAAAGGGGGCGACCAGAAACCGATTTACACCAATTTTCTCTTAGTTTATTAGTTCTTTTCTTTTTGAACACACGTGCTGAAAGTACTTTCCACCCACGTATTGAAAGTAAATTTTCACGTGAATCACAAATAATGTCAACAGTACTTTCCACATGTGTGCTGAAAGTACTTTTAGCACGCGTATTGAAAGTACTTTCGGCACGCGTGTAATATTTACCGCTTTCCAAAGTACCAACTAGTGCGAATTTTGTCACTTTCGTGTGTGGTCGTAGGAAAAATGGTGTACATCACTTGTTAGAAAGCGTCTCTCATGCACTCGTGTGAAATTTGTCACTTTCTTCACTCGTAATGTAATATACTATTAGGCGTATCAATCTCAATATTTTGAGTAGCGATGGGATGCGAGATTTTTACAAAAGTTCTTAGTTTAGTTTTTTTTTTTTTGTTTTCCTGAAGACAAGTATTTTTAGACTGTGACTGTGAGATAGGGGCTGTTTAGTGGAGTCATTTTTTTTTCTCTGGCATTTTGAGGGCTGAATGTGGCTACTAAGCTGATGGGAATATGGGTGATTTCAATGCCTGCCCAGCCTGCCTCCCCTTCGAAAATTTGCAGAAAAAAAAAATTGATTTACATGAAGTTTTTTTTTTTTAATGATCTCAAATTTTTTGGCTTTTAAATAAAAGATTGACATTGATAAATAATTCACCCATGAAAAATACTAGATGCTTTTCAATAGTTGAAAAAGTGGGGATGGGGGTCAACTTCCAAGAGAAAAGAAAAGAACCTTCCGCGTTAACTTTTTGTCTGGCAATCGAGAGAATAAAAGGTTTTGTTATGAAAATAACGCTGAAAAATTACCAGATGGTAATCACAGTTCGAAATCGAGTTTTCCGGTGAAACATTCTGTGGACATTTCGAACAGGGGCCAGGCATTAAAACCACTTTTATCAGGGTCGGCGCAAGCGACTTTGGCGCCCTAGGCAAATGTAGTGTTAGTATAGTGACTTGTCGCCGAAAAATAGCTTGATACTTCGGTTTTTGAGTAAAAGCAAATCCTTTTCACAAGTGAAAGAACATGTCAGAATTAGTAGATTTTTGAACAGACCCATCTCAAAAAGTCATGCCGACCCCCCTCCACCCCCCTCAAACTTGATAAGTGGATTGTTTTAGTTTTTATGATTTTTCTCAAAAACGGTAAAAGATAGAAACGTCATTTTGGTGCCATTCGATAGAGCACAAAATTCTGCATAATGACTATGACCTTATTTTTGTTCATGTTTTCACGGTAAGGTCCCACGTAAACAAAAATGTGGTGGGGGGTAATCACAAAAACACGCGTTGATCAATATCATTAAAGCCGCTTGAAAAAAAAAAGAAAATAGAGGATACGAAAAATTGAGAATAAAGTTTTCTCAAAATAAAGCCACCAGTGGCGTACGAAAAAATAGTGGAGTAAGAGGAATTATTAAAAATAAATATTTTTGGTTACCATATCCTTTCAAACTATAATTTATTTATTTTATTGTAATTATATGCAGGTAAACATCATTTGTTGAAAAAATCAGGAGCGTATTAGAAGATAATAAAAGTGAATACCTAAAGTGTATTTTTTCCTAAGATGGAGATACAGTTTTACAATGCATGTCATGTGAATGACATATTGCGATTAATAAGCGGCATTGTTTTTATGTTTCAAAGTTGACGCAGTGTCTAAATCTATGTTGGGAAAAAATACAGTATAAGTAAATTTTTTAACAATTTTAACAACTCAAAACGTCTTCACAGAAGAGCTAGTGTAACCTCTTACGTGTTTACACCTTAAATTGCAATATTCTGCACACAAGCATTTAAAATTTTTCAAATAGAATTTGCATTTTGGACCACAAGTTTTGCATTTACATTTTAATAAAATGTCGGATGATATTTTTTCATTTTCCGTAGTGTTTCATAGTGACGTCCATTTATTGTTTTCAAGAGTCCATCCCCATTCAGATGGGCATGGAAGTTCTACCATACTTGCGGCCGAGGCGTAGCCGAGGCCAAGCAAATTTCAGGTGGAGCCAAAAAAGATCATTCGGCCGAGGTACACACAAAATTTTTTAGGCGAGTGTTTGTTCTTGAAAAAAGACGAAAATTCAACAGTAGCCATGGGCGCCGGAACTTCAAAATTACTATGGGGGCTGGGGCTCCAAAAATTAACGTAAGAAGAATTAATTATATAGACAGGACTAGGCTTAGACACAGGCTTAAATGGGACCAGCATCATTGACATAGCTAGGATTTTGTATTGAGCTGAGGGGTCAAATTTGAAGGAAGTGATCCTTGCAGCTCTGCCGCAGGCGCGAAATTTTTGGGTCTTTTACGGTATTTTTGTAACTTCTAATGGAAGGAGCATGCGGGGATGCGGCCATTTGAACATAAATTTTGATAAGAATTTATAGTAGAACGTTACTTATAGGCAGTGCCGGCCCGAAGTTACTTTTAGGATGGAGCGAGATCTGACTTTGGCGCCTCTAATTAAGTAAATGCGAATCGTATACTCTATCTACCGATCAGATGTTCTAAGCTAAGTACCAAGAAAAAGTACTTAAGTATCAAGTACAAGTTTCTTTTTTAATACGAATCAAGTACCAGTACAAGTATAAGTAAGTACAAAAGGAAATACTTAAAATGTCAAGTAAATTGACTTGAATTGCCCAAATTCAAGTACGAATACCAAATTCCACGAAAGTCAGAGTCAAGATAGTAATCACTTAAACTTGCTTACTTGAAATGACATTCACGTAGAAATACCTCAAAAAATAATTTTATTTTTTCTATCAAGTATTGTTCGAATTAAAAACAAATTAAATTATTGCTATCGATAATCTTAAACGGGGTGTGCCCCAAAAATAAGTTTTAGTTGTCCACCTATTTTTCAATAAGTTGAACATTTATTCTACTTGACAAATGAATTGATCAACTGGACATTACCGTTCTAGAACGTTTCTCATGTCGGTTGGAAAAGAGCTATCACCGACATTATCGTATCGTTTTTGCGTTCTCACACCTATTGCTGCGTCAGTTTAAATAGGTTTTGCAATTTTTGCGTGTATTTATGACGTCACGCGATGAATAGACAAAATTTTATTTAGTCGTATCTACCTTATTATTTTGAGTAGCGATGCGAGATTTTCACAAGAGTTCTTAGAATTGTCTTCTTTATTTTCTGAATACAAGTTGTATTTTAAGGTTACACCCCCTTTAATAAGAGATATTCAGTATAGGCACCACAGGCACAGGAATTAGTATTGAGAGACGCCAGCTGGGCTCTTCCTACCTACTGGCTGGGTTTCGGCTGCTGTCTTATCACGGACTTACCACGCATTTGCTCGCAAGCAGAATAGCAGAATATCGAAAAACGAAGACAGAGCAGTGTGTCTATCTGATTGTAAAAATCCTACCTCCGTTATCCTGGACTATTTCTACATAAAATTTCAATATGTTGAAGCTAAAAGCTTCCTTAATAAATTTAAAAAAAATTGGTTAATCTAGGTTTCCAGAATTTTTAGAAAAAAAAATCAGGAATGAGGCTATCAGGCTATGGCAAAGATATCACTAAGTGTGTTTGTCTGATTGTAAAAATCATAGCTTCGTTATTCTGGGCTATTTCTATATAAAATTTTAGTATGTAGAAACTAAAAGCTCCCTTAATAAATAAAAAAATATTTGGTTTTAATCGAAGTTTCCAGAATTTTTAGAAAAAAAATCAGGAATGAGGCCATCAAGCCTTTATTATTTAATTGTAAAAATCATAGCTCCGTTATCCTGGACT